ACTGTCTTGGCTTACCACTTTACTGTCTTGGCTTACCACTTAACTGTCTTGGCTTACCACTTTATTGTCTTGGCTTACCACTTAACTGTCTTGGCTTACCACTTTATTGTCTTGGCTTACCACTTAACTGTCTTGGCTTACTACTTTACTGTCTTGGCTTACCACTTAACTGTCTTGGCTTACCACTTTATTGTCTTGGCTTACCACTTTACTGTCTTGTGGTGAAGAATTAATTCCTTTGCGCTCTTATATCGTATCCCGGTCATAATAATATTCAAAGCAAGAATTATAATTAGGTCTGGGCGCGTTATTAGTTTTTGTCTGTTTGTTAGAAGTTAGTAAGTTTGACGTAGCTTGTCTGTTTGTTAACAGTTAGTTAGTTTGACTTAGCTTGTCTGTTTGTTAACAGTTAGTTAGTTTGACGTAGCTTGTCTGTTTGTTAACAGTTAGATAGTTTGACGTAGCTTGTTTTTTTGTTAACAGTTAGTTAGTTTGACGTAACGGAATGAGCTTAAAATTTTTTTCAAAGAATCAGTTCTAAATCTTTCAAATAGTTAAATCTTTTTTTCAACGCTTGATATTTTTATCAACATTTAATTAATTTGAAGACTATTGATTCAACAGAGAGAGAGGCCTGACTGTTTTTAACGAAAATCAAAATCTTAAAATTAATTTCGAGAATAGTTTTCTAAGTGAGGCGCCTATTATGTGCGCTCACGAAATGCACAGATTCAGAAGCAAGATGATGTCAGAATATGGTGTGGTGCGCGTGCGCATTTTCGTGACATTGCAACCATGTGAAAATCCGCAAACAATTTTCATCAATCATCAAATGAAATTAATCAGCTAAATAGATTAGATTTAAATATTCCAAAAAAAAACACAGTTTTGTGATAATATTTTAATATTTTCAAACAAAAAGGATTTATCACAAATTATTATTTGCTCTAACCATCATCAAAATGTTAAATCTTGTAAAAAAACCTTGAAGTGGATTGAAAGTAAGGAGAAACTAGGAGTGCCCTTGCCTCAAAATACTGCTAAATAATACGCAATAAGATTAGTGGTTTCTAATGGACGGATTTGGTTTATTTAACGAATTATCTATTATTATTTTATTTTCATTAAGTATCAACTTAGCAATAAAAGCAGGATCACATATAAGGTTAACATAAAGCAACATATAGGGTTAACTACAAAGGATGAGATGGTAAAGACTATCTCAAAGTTTAATTCAATCTTATTTAATGTTTAAAAAAAAGAAACAAGTTTACAGTTGCAGGGAATCAAAAGAAATTCTTTGCAGTCGTATTCAAAGTATCTTCCTTTGTAGGTAACCCGCTATACCTTCTACAGTGGTCTTAAAAAATAGTAAAATTCTTGATATCGTCTTTTGATTTTGAAAAGTCGTTAATTAAAAAGTTATGTAGATTGATTGTAATTAGTTGTTAAAAATTTATAATTTGTAAATAATTCATTTCTTAAATCTGGTTTACAATTCCTACAATTATTTCTACTGTACAAGGATTAATATGTCTGGTGCAAACTATTCTATAATACTCATATTACTTATTATTTCTACTGTATAAGGATTAATATGTCTGGTGCAAACTATTCTATAATACTCATATTATTTATTATTTCTACTGTACAAGGATTAATGTGTCTGGTGCAAACTATTCTATAATACTCATATTACTTATTATTTCTACTGTACAAGGATTAATGTGTCTGGTGCAAACTATTCTATAATACTCATATTACTTATTATTTCTACTGTACAAGGATTAATTCCCTCCTATTCTTAGGACTAGTCCTATTGATGTACCCGACCCTACCCGACCCGCTAGAATAAAATGATTATGCAAAGCATGATATCTTCATTTCTTCATACCAAGAAACTCCTGAAACTCACCCAAAGGTAGTTCCAAAAAACATGAGACCTATATATATTTTTTGTTGGACTGTAATATCAAATCAGAGCTTTAGTCCTTTCCCTCCAACTTCTTTGGGGGTACTGGGTTTGTTTACATTCCTACCATAGAGTACAGTACACAATTTGCGTATATCTGAGTTGGGCTTTCCTGTATATAGTTCCTTGGGATAATCTAATATTTTAGTATTCTTTTGTGCACCGTAATAACACTTTCAAACTTCTTGTGTTTCTTTCCATATCTTTAAATACTTTCCACATGATCGATACAGGGTTAACCACAAAGGATGAGACTTTAGAGACGTCTTATGGAATTTTTATTACTGCAGATCTTTGAATATTCCATTGAAAAATGTAATCTACAATAAACGTTCACATTTAATCTTCAGATCTTTATGCTGTACGAGTTTAAGGTCCTCATTAAAAAATAATCCTTCGCGATAACCCTGTTGTGTATATTCTTGATAAATAAATTATTCAAAAATGTTTTAGATCTTTTTTTGGGACGCCATGTTCTGCTAAAACCTATCACAACAATAAAAATACCGTAATCAAACCCTTAAATCGTGAAAAATAGGAGTCAACATTTTCTTTTGAAACATTATGGGGGAGGGGAAGGGGTATTTAACTCTGAAAAAAACGTTGCAAACAAAAATTGGAATCAGTATTCACATTTTACTGGAAATGTTGCTCTGTTCCCATTCTGGAGAGGGCATTAATAAATTACACCTATAGGTTTGGGCCTTTATATCCTATAGCCTAGTACTCAGAAAACGAGAGTAAAAGAAAGCCTATTGCAAAAGTATAACAGATACATACATTTTTTAACCTTTTGGCAAACACTTGTTTAAAGTGCATCAGTTGATTTGTAGTTTTTCATTTTTCATTTTTCATTTTTCATTTTCAAACAAATATGTCATTAATTAGGAATAACAATAAGAAAAAACAATTAGATCTCAAATGTGTACACTGTACAAGTGAGAAGAAACGATATTTGGCAGAGGTCCTTTTATTAAACAACATCATTCGGAGAAAAATGATTCTTTGAAATTTTAAAACGTCATTTTGAAATCTTGCTTCAACACTTTAAAAAGTTTGAAGTGCATCTAAAATCACAGAAATACATAAATCGTATAGATAATTTTAAATTAATTGGATTTTAAAAACAAATTGTAATTTTTGTTTTTTAAATGATTTTTACATTTTTAACCGATCTTGAATGTTTTTACAAAGCTTATTTGTGCTATGAATGATGATCGAGTTTTTGCGACATTATATTTATAAAAAATACAAAATTATTGCAACTTTTTTGCTCTTATACTTCAATATCAAGCAATATCTATCTCATTCTACTATATTCTATAATTCTATTCTATTACTATCCAATCCTCTTATATTATATTCTATTATATATATTAAATTGTAAACTCTGTTTGTTTGTTTGTCCGATCATAACTCAGGCACCCGGTGACCGATCTGTCGCAAACTTTGATCGGGAAACTTGGCAGAACTACAAGAATTAACACGACCAAGCGCGGGAGTAACTATGAGAGTACCGTGGGCAACGCTGGGTTCTCAGACTTGTATTCTATAATTTTGTTGTATTCTATTCTATTCTATTCTATTCTATTCTATTCTATTCTATTCTATTCTATTCTATTTTATATTCTATTCTATTCTATTTTCTATTCTATTCTATTCTATTCTATTCTATTCTATTCTATTCTATTCTATTCTATTCTATTCTATTCTATTCTATTCTATTCTATTATATTCTATTCTTTTCGATTCTATTCTATTCTATTCTATTCTATTCTATTCTATTCTATTCTATTCTATTATATTCTATTCTATTCTATTCTATTCTATTTTATTCTATCCCAACCTAACCTGTAATCTGCAAAAATTTGCCCAACCCCGATTTCTCAGTAGTTGCTTTCATCTTCAGTTTAGAGAGTCAATTCTTAGAACTTTCATTATCATCATTCATGAATTCATTAATTTATGTATTCATTCTTTCATTCATTCATTTATTCTTTCACCCTAAAACCCAAAAAATCTTTACTTTCTTTGTGATCAGCGTTTAAGTTTGCATTTAAAAAAAAATATTATTCTTTGTGACTTTTAGGATATCGTATCCCCCCCCTCTCCATTCCATACTCGATTCACAGCGATAGCCAAAATATCTCTCAATATTGCATTTATTGTCTCCGCTGCATAAATTACAGAAAATCAAAATTGAAACTTATCAATTTTAAGAATAAAAATAATTCCTCTTTGTCATGGCATCGTTGTGAATCCTATATGCATTTTATTTATAACTAGGCTTTCAGGGCGCTTCGCGCTCATCTTCTATTTAAATTGTGAACATGTTCTTTTTGTTTACATTTTAAAACAAAGAAGAAAAAATTTTTGCAGATTTTTAAAAAAAAAATTCGCGGATTTTCGAGAATTTAAATTTTTTTACAAAATTAAAAACCTTCTTTTTAAAATTTTTATCATTCATAAACCTTCCCTGTGGTCACGTGATGTCCCACAAAAAAATTGGGCCCGATCGGTTCAGCCGTTTTGACAAACAGACAGACAAGCCAAATTTACATATAGATTATTAGGTTTCAAATTTATCGATATTCAAGTTTGATATAATTTATTGTTTGATGAGATCTGTAGATATCTTTGGAAAGCGATTGAAATAAATTGTTTTTACATTGCGTGCAACAAATGTTTGTAAAATTGAAGAAAATTTTTACAAAATGCTCGAAATTCCAGTTCTTAACATTTCTTGCCATTGCTGGGAACGGGAAGATGCTTAAATGGAAAGTTTTTTTTGAATAAAATTTGATTTAATTTGAGTTCTGACCGATTTCTCAACTGTACCCTGTAAACCTTATTCTAGGTACTTCATTTGAAATATTTGTCTGTTACCGCGTAAACAATAACCTATTCGGAATATTTCTTATATGTACAGTTACCGCGTATACAATAACCAATTCGGAATATTTCTTATACAAATGAAGTACCGTCTGCAAATCATGTATAATCATATGGTAGGGCGAACCGCGTCAGTTATATCCATAGAGAATAGAATATATATTAGAGTGAAATTTACTTGAAAAAGTATGTATAAAACGGCCATTTTGTTGTACTGTTTCCATACTGCAGGTGTACTTCACATATTTATGTCATATAACCTTTTGGGCCCTGGAATATCCTTTTATAGAAAATCTAAAATTAATATTAAAAGAAAACCAAATTATGAAATAATTAATATAATTGACCAATCATCATTTCACATAGACTCTGTGCATTTTATTTTACAAACGATGATTTTTCGTTATAACTAAAAATCAAATAATTTTTTTATTCACCTAATTTATTGTAAAGTTTATTTAATAGCTTTAAAAAATTCGAAATTGAAATGGATAGTCTAGGGAACATACTGTATTAATGTACTCTACTGCATATAATTTGTGAACATTTACATGATTTTTACACTTTGAACTCCCTTTCAGGCTGAAAGGGACTGAAAAAATTCATACCGAGAGATTCTTTAAATTCCCCTCTAATATATATTCTATTCTCTATGGTTGGTTATTTCTCCCTTCTATTCCATACTCCCTGATCCATCCCCTTCTATAATCTCGTATATTCCTGCTTCCACTTCACATTACACCTCAAGGTTGATCAAATTCATTTTGTTCAAAAACCTTTTTTTTCTTATTTAGAATGTTCAAAAATTTATTTTTTGTATTAAATTTTTTTTTCTTATTTTTTTGTGAGCAAGCTGCTTACTGCAGAAATGTGCAGTAAATTATAGTGTACAAGCAGAACATAAAAGAAATCCTCTGAGAAGATCGATTTGCACGGCTGTAAGTAACAAATATAATATCAAATATGCCTTTAGGGATACTCACAAACGATCCGAATACAGAGACGATTTTATAGAATTATACTGTCTGTTTCCTTACATTTATGATTCCCTGTACCTGTAAACTTGTTTCTTTCTTTACCTTATCATTGAATAAGCCATAACAAAAATTATATTCAAGACTGAATTTAACCTCGGAATCGTCAAATTTAAAGAGATACAGGTCGTCTTTACAGTCTCATCCTTAGTTTTATTATGAACACTAAAAAATCATTATTCATTTAATCAATTAATTATATACTTCAAAGGCAAAATATATCACAATGGAATTTTTCAATTTTTCAACAAATATTTACAAATAAATAAAAAATCTCTAGAAAAATGTCTTCACAGTAGGAAACAGTATAAAATTTATTTTTAATCTAGAAAAAAAAACAATAAAATTTTCTGAATAAAACATTTTTGACAATCAATACTCAAACGTATCTTTGTCACAAATTTATTTTTATTTTGAAATATTTTGAAATTTAATCGTTTCTTTTCGTTTTGTCCATTTGTCAAAAAGTTGTAAAAACTTTTGTCCGGAAACTTTTTTAAACGTTATGCCCTTTTAAATGTTTAAATTGAAATTTTTTATTCAACGTCTCGGGCAAATGTCGTCTTTTTACAGAATCCAAAAATATCTAAATAAGAATTGACTTTGTCTATATAACGCTTGTAGATGTATCAACGTTTAGAATAACTTGTTTATCCCTTGATATATCCTCTAAACCCCTGGTTGAGTCCCTAAAACCTCTTGTAAAGGCCATATGACCCCTTGAAGATTCTCTGGAGGCCCTGATAGAGCCCCTAGAAGCCCCTAAAGGGACTGAAAGTACGTTTAAATTAACTGCCTCTTCCTGTAAAGTAATTTATTCATTTACTTTAACATTTTCTTGAAAATAATCACTTTTTCATTCATAAATTATTGAAACTTATAATCGAACAATGACTGATAAAAAGAAATAATAACAATCAAAAACTTACTTTGAATTAAAAAAATGAATAATGATGAATTCATTAACAGAAAAGAATTTAATATATTAATCAGTTTAAAACATTAAAATCTAAAAATTAAGTAAAAGTCGACAAAAATCAAATCAAAAAGGACATTGTTAAATGAAAAATTAATAAAACAAAAGTAAAAAAAATTAAAAAATAAGAAATATGTTAAATGAATCGAACAAACGGAGTAATGAAAATATCGACTAAAATAACAAAATGTTAGATTGAAAATGAAAATGAATGAATAAATGAATGAATAAATGAATAATTCCCTGGTTTTTGACCGGTTCTCGCTCAACAAACACAATCTCACCAAATTCATCTTCAGGGACCCTTAGTTGGAAAAAATCTCCTAAATTTGGCCCGGGGTCCCTAATATTTACGTTTCTGTCTTTGGCGGCAAATCTGAGAGAATTTTTAACTTCTAGAACAGAACAGTCTGCGTAACTTTGAGCATCTTCAGTAAATAATTCTCCTCTTAATCCTGTTTCTGCTCCTTTGGCTCCTGTTCCTCCAGATTCTCTTGATCCTGCGTCTAATTCTCTTTCTGATTTTCTCTGAGATTCTGCCGTTCTTTGTCTTGGCTCCTGTACCCCTTGTTCAATTCCTGTTTTGATGTTTTGTCGACTGTAGCTGCTGTTTTCTCCGCCAGGATTGCTGTTTAGTCGACAATGGATACTGTTTATCACCGAAGGGTTGCTGTTTTGTTGGCTGTGATTGCTGTTCACATTGGACTTTAGGTCACTGTTTCTTGCACTTTTCATGTTGATATTTTGAGCCTGTAGTCTGGTTAGATTAGCTTCATGCCGACCTGAAATGGAAATGTTTAAATTATGTTTCGGGAGTTTTAAAATTGATTGATTGATTATAATACCTGGCTCTATATGAACAGGTTCTTCTGTCTCCACTAGAACAGCTTCACTATCTGCTCGTAGAAGTCCTCCTACACCCAGGGCAAGGAAACCTCCTTCTACGCCTGTTTCCCGGCCCAGGTTCATGCTGTGCCGATATCTCAGATCTGTGGTTCGATCCTGTTCTCCGGGTCTACCAGAGTCAGATTCACGTCTCTCAAGTCGAACCAGACCCAGGTCCAGGGAGAAGGCTCCAAGGTCAACCCTGTCTTCAACCGGTCTCTGTTGGAGGTTGTCAAAATACATCTCCTCTTGAGCTTCCGAAGGCGGGGCAGAGTAGCCACTTGAGTCCTGGCCTAGGGCGGAGAAGTTACTGGAGTCCTGGCCTAGGGCGGAGAAGTTACTGGATTCAATGATGACGGTTGCATAGTCTGGGGGAGAGGATGTATCCTTGATTAGATGTCGTCCTCCTCCCTGTAACCTCCGCATAGATCTTCTATAACACAAGAAAACATTATTATTATTTACTGTAGTCAAGTCAATATCGTCTTCTTCGAAAAGGAAGAAATCCAGGAAAAAAAAGAAAACATAAATTCTAAAAATAAAAATTCCTTCAATTAATAAATTGAAAATAAAGTTACTAAAAAATTGAATTAATTCGTAAAACCCACAAAATCTCACTTAAATGAATATCTAAAACTCTTTAAATGTTATAATCTGTAGTCTAGAAGGTTGATTTTGTCTTCTGAATTGAAAAAGCATTAAAAATAGAGATTTAAAATTTTGGCCAGCAAGAAAAACCGGTTTGCAGTTGCGTGAGAAAAAAGTAGAGAAACTTCAAGAAGTCGCCTTGAATTGAAGTCACGATTTTGATTTAATCCTGTATCTTCGAAACTAAGTTAAACCCCATGTTTAAATAAAAACTTTAGTCTTTCATTGTAAGTTTTGAAATATGTATTATATAGAATATCAAATAACCCTTTGAAATCTTGTTAAGTTTAAAACAAAGTTTAATATTATCTAGTATAAAGCGGAATTTCTGAACAATTGATAAAGACTTACAAATCGTTTGTAACCATTGCATAACATTTTTGTATGCTACAATAACCCCAAAACGTTGTTGGCCTTTTTTGTGCTTTTCATTTAATGGTTTAAAATATACAGGGTTATCCACAAAGAATGAGCCTTTAAAGACAAGTTGAAACTCTTTAAATATGACGGTTTTAATGATTTCTCGAGTTTCAGAGAATCAAAAAGTATGGAAACAGACACTATAAACTTCCGTACTGTCGTCCCTGAAGTCTCATCCTTAGTGTATAACACTGTAAACAAGCTTCTTAATAATTTATTTGGAAAGCGGTAAACAAATGTCGTCCTTCACCTGAAAGACTGTCTAATGATTCTGGCAAGCCTAGCCCCTGTAGCTGTACTATAGCTGGGAGGCGGGGTGTACTTGGGGGGCGGATCCGAGGCCTGGGGAGGGGCAGCCGGGGTGGAAGGGTTGAAATTAGTTAGAATTACATCAGGAGATCGAACTGTTGGAAGTCGTCTTTGTGCTGAGTAGTAGGGTTTATATAACATCTCCAATTTCTGAGGAATAATAAAAATATTATTCTTATTCTTAGAATCTCCATTTATAGAGTGACATGTCCAATTTACAACGAAAACCTTTTACAAGTTGGTTTTGTGATCTGTATAAGGATGCATTTTGAAAACACAATTTCAATTTTGTTTTCTTTAAAAAAAGATTTGCAGATTTATGCTACAGAAACATAAAAGGAAATAATGAGAATTAAACAATTTACAATAATATCTTCCATATTAGTCATCAGATTAAAATTTAAATTTAGATTCATTCAAAACTTCGTTTATTTCTTTAATAATTTTACAGTAAGTAAGGAAGTCTCTACTGTGTGCAATAAATCTATACTATAAAGGAAGTATCTGCAGGTTTGAATATTATTACTGTGTGCAAGTAATCTGTACTATTGTTTCGCTACTTAGCGATTTCCCTAAAGACCTAATATATGTACCGTGTGGTATTTCTCAGGATTGGATCGTAAGACTCCCTTCTCTCAACGCTCTTCATAATAAAAAGGAAGATAGTAAGGTTCCGAACGTTTATTTCTCTGAGCCTTCAATCTAAACAAGTTTAATAAACCCACAGAAAAAGCTTTGAGTGAAAATCATACAAATATAACAAATAATCCACTCAGGCATTAAAAAACTGTGGCTAGGAACCAACAAACGAATACATAATCATCAATCATACTAGAATCAACCAATAAACATAGATATATATAAAATAATTACCACGGTGATCCCAGAATTCTGAACACGGAAAATACTTGCAAAACGAATAAACATATACTGAATATAAATATAACTACTACTCCGCTAGAAATCTTGCGTCTGCGCAGTCGGACTGTAAACAGTTCCTAAACTAGTTCTTTCACAATACATTCCGTACAGATCTTCAGGGAGAACTCAGAAATACCCAGGGGGGACAAGCAGACTTTCTACACGCAGCATGGCTCGCGTAACAACTATAAAGGAAGTATCTACAGGTTTTAATATTTTTACTGTGTGCAAGGAATCTGTACTATAAAGGAAGTATCTGCAGGTTTGAATATTATTGCTGTGTGCAAGGAATCTGTACTATAAAGGAAGTATCTGCAGGTTTGAATAATATTACCGTGTGCAATGAATCTGTACTATAAAGGAAGTATCTACAGGTTTGAATGACAGCAACGAATGGAACAATGAGAATAGGAAGAAGCTGCATCATGGAACCAATCTCACGAACCCAGCTAAAAAAAATAATAATAATAATAATGATAAAAATAATAAAATTGATAATAATTATATTAATTACAATGATGATAGTAATAATAATGATAATAATAATAAAAATATAATATTGATAATAATTATATTAATGGCAATGATGATAGTAATAATAATGAAAATAATGATAAAAATATAATATTGATAATAATTATATTATTGACAATGATGATATTAATAATAATGATAATAATGATAAAATAAATCAAGAGATGTGTGTTTACCTGGGTAGGTATTTGTACCCTACACCCACTCTCCAATCAAACATGTCGGACACGTGACCAGTTTTAAAAGTTACAACAGACATTATCAACAAGGAGATGGGTAATATCTAAATATTTGTCTTTAAAGGGATTGTATAATGAATTTCAAGTCACACTCCAATATTTTATCCAATTGAATCGATCAATGAAAATGGAGGGTCACAAAAAATTAAGTCTACTCTCATTTTAAAGAATATCTAAAAATGCTGATCGAAATGTAATAAAATTTACGTACAGGGTGTCCCACGAAACATGACAGTTGGTGAATAGTTTTGAATGTCTTCTTCCACATACTATATTTTGCCCATTTATCTTAATGATGTACCATTACCATATGTTGATCATGTAAAATATCTTGGATGCACGCTACAAACAGATAATTCATTTACTCGTGATATAAATCAGAAACGTGGACAGTTTATTGCTAAAATTCATTCCCTGAATCAAGAATTTTACTTTGCAGATTCAACAGTTTTGATTAAATTATATAACCTTTATGCAACGAGTATATATGGATCCAATTTATGGAATTTATTTTCGAATGACGTGTTCAGAATTTATTCGTCTTGGAACTCTGCAGTTAGAATTGTGTTTAAATTACCAAACACTTGTCATAGATATTTTATCGAACCATTGTCACAGTCATCTCATTTAATGACCATGTTCTGCAGTAGATTTGTTTCATTCATTTCTTCATTAGAAAATTCGTCAAAAATTTGTATCAGACTTTTGATAAATCTTTTAAAATTTGATCAAAGCTAGGTCAGTAACTGCAAAAAAACTGAGAAATATTGCAGACAAATGCAACAAAGATTTGAATATTATCGACAAACGTATAGTAAAAAATTGTATGATATTTCAAGAAATACCCTTGGAAGAAGAATGGAGGATTCCATTTTTAAATGAATTAATTTCTGCAAAAAACAATAAGATTGTTATCAATGGAGTTGAACAAGCTGAGATTGACGATATTATTAATTTTATATGCACGACTTAATTACAGTATGATTTTGTTTCTTGTATTTGTATTCATTTTTGATATACTCTTATATAGTTCTTTTTTCTTCTGTTTAATTGTACCAATTATTTAAATTGTGTACGTTTACGAAAATAAATAAAAATAAATAAATATTAGATATCAAAGACTTTTTGCAGTTTATTTCTTTAAAAACATGTTTAATTTTTTACTCTGAAATCAATTTTACTATAATATAACTGTCATATAAAAGATGTTATTAGTCTCCTTAGTATCAAACAACTTATCAAACTATGGAAGAAGACATTTTAAACTATTGACCAACTGTTATGTTTCGTGGGACACCCTGTATTATTTGTTTGTAATTTTTTTTAATGTCTTACCACAGTCCAAATAAAAGCTAAGAAAGGTCCCAGCCAACCTTAAACAATTGAAATAGAAATATATAATATTAGTTGACAGACAGTTAAGAGTCAATAAAAATTTTATACTCAAAATTAAGATATAATCGTTATTCTATCTTGTTTTTAAACAAATTTGGGCAATTTCATAAAAATCAGTCATATGAAGAAACCAAAATTATAAATTAAAAGTTTTTAGAAAAATCAGGATATCTCATTCAATTTAGCTCGGAAACAGATTTATTTCCGGTCCCGATGCAAATAAGGATCACTTGCGACCTTGAACTTACACTATTAGTTTACCCTGAAATTACCCAAATAAGTGAACGGTCCCTTTAAGGGTCAAAGTGTACTTCAATTTTTAGCGGGGTTTAACGAATTTCATAATTATTATTATTATTATACCTGAACATATAGATGATCTGGGGAAGAGTAGAGTAGAAATCTGGTTTGAACCGTACGGTTTGCCCCGTACTACAAGTACACCAAATACAAGGAGTAGGTACAGTACCATCACCCACCAACCAGAACCAACAGTACAGTCAAGAAAGTAAACAACAAAAATTCCAATCTAGGATAAAAATCATAATAATAATACTAATTAATAATAATAATAATAATAATAATAATAACAACAATAATAATAATAATAATAATAATAATAAAAATAATAATAATAATAACAACAATAGTAATAATACCTCTGTAGCTATTGGAAGACCTAGTGTAAGACCAAGAGCGCAAACACAGAATGTTATACTTCCTTCCCAGTTCTTTAAAGTAGAGGATCTGATAGCAATCAACCCCTAGCAAACACACAGATTAGAGATCAGAGATACGGTGGTAATCAGAAAACAGTGGTATGATTGTCGTCTTTTCATTTCCTTTTATGTGGTTATAAGTAGCAGCTTAATGTTTAACAAAATTTATTGAAAGTAATCGGTTTTAACAATGACGAAAATCTTAGATAAAAGAATGAACGTAGACGAAAATCATTCCGCAGTATTCTGGTTAATTCTGCATCAGAGGGGATATTGTAAAAGTTTTTCAGAGGATTTTTTTAAAAGAAGAAATGTAAGAATTAAAAATTCATGATTACAGAATTTAACGGTTGGAGGAAAGGATGAATGAAAGGTTAAATAATATACCTGTATAGGTGGATGAAAGGATGAATGAAAGGTTGAATAAATATAGGTGTATAAATGTATGAAAGGATGAATGAAAGATTACATAATATACCTGTATAAATGTATGAAAGGATTAATGAAAGGTTGAATAAATATATCTGTATAAATGTATGAAAGGATGAAAGGTTTAATATACCTGTATAAATGTATGGAAGAGAGCAAGACTCTGTGAAATACCAAGAAGAATAAGAGTAAAATAAAAGAGAATTGCCCAAACTGGAGAGATGGTTCCAACTAAAGAAAAGATGATCAATTTTGAATTGAATATTTTTAAGTGTGGATCAATCATTCATTTCACTAGTGATCAATACCATACATAATGGGAGTGTCTGGCTTGGCATGGTAGTTGATATGACAGTTTCAGTAAGAATAAATATTTTCATTTAATGTTTACCGCCGATTTAAGGATGTATCTCTTATTGGATGATGAGTAGATAGAAAGATAGATATTACCGCCATACTATTTCAATTGGTTCAGAACAGCCAACAAACACATGACTGAACCCTAATTGGATCATGCGCTAAGGAGTGATGAAAGGTTATAGTATTGTAAAGAAATGTTTCTTGAACTAGTTTGAGCCAAATACGACGTTTGTACTGTGTAGAATCTTTAAAATCCTACAGCGCCAAATAGGTTGTGTATTGAATTTCTAAAAAAATTCTCTACAACACTGCACTTTCAGCTCAACTACCATATGTCTAGCCAGACACTCCCTTTAATTATTCAATCTCATTCAGTCTCAATCAGAAAAAATTTTACAAAAAAGCAACCAATTCAATAGGAAAAAAATCAACTAAGCATTTGATTGTCTAGTTGCCTTTTCGTTTTTTGAAGGAATTTAGTTTAGGCCACCAACTCGGATTTTCTTATCCCTATATCTTTCCAACCCGATGTCGTAGACCTTTGATATTTCAAACTATAAATTATCAAAGGGTTTCATTATCAGATTGGAAAGATAAATGAATTATAAAATTTAAGTTTGTGACAAAAGCTTAATTTTTTTATGACCATATCAAAAAATAGATTCGACGTCACCCGGCTTCCAAGTAATAAATCAAAGAATATTTTTCTTTTTTAATATATTTTTCACTGGTTCAGAATATGGGTTTAGTCATTGATAGATTCCGTTAAATCTTAGTTTGAAAGGGATTTGCATAATTTATAAAAATTACACTGGAACTGGATGATACACGTTATTTAATGTGATCCTTTTCTTAAAAAGAGTTCTGTCCGATTAACAACGGTACACTTGAAATCTAGCTTTCTCTGATCAATAGCAATGTTAAGATAACGTCATTTTCATTTGAAAATGTGTCGAATTCTGTCAATTACATTCTTTGTCTGTGCAGCTTGAAATCCACAAGACCTTTGTTCAAGTTGCTACACCATGTTATATTAATTTATATTTGTGTGTGAAAATAAATCTTAATAATAATAATTAGAAATTTCAATATTTAGATAGAAAAGATATTTTCACTAGTTTTGTTAAGAAAGTTCACACAAAGATTAAAGTTCTAAAGGATGGTTTGACGATTAATTTCTGCAAATTTAATTTCTAATAATTTCCCCTGTCCATCACAAAACAAGCCAACCATACTTTTTATGTCGGACGTTAAGATTTCCTTTGATAAAACCAACTGTTTAATTAATCCTATAAACCAATATATGATTTATAATTTTACCACTTCGTTCTTTCCTTTTATCCTCAAGCATTTTCTGTGAATTTATTGACAAAAGGAACACCTATTGGTCGCCAAAAATTCCTATTTTCTAATCATCACATTTTCTAATCTTTGCAATCTTAGATATTTAAAACTATGAATTCTGCTTAATCAACAGTCAAAATTTGCAATATCATGACATCATAAGGTATAGGAAATACAAAATCAGAGTTTGCGAGTTTTATTTCTCAATTTAAAAAGAAATAAACATATTTTTTGGCTACATTTTCATTCCTGAACGACCCAAACAACCCATGACTGGTTTCACAGGTCTTCAGTAATTTGTATGTCCCTTTGAAGCAATTAAAGCAAGCAACCAAACAAACAAACAAAGCATCAAAACAAACAAACAAAGCACCCTAACAAACAAACAAACAAAGCACCCAAAAAACAAACAAAGCAACCAGACAAACAAACAAAGCACCCAAACAAACAACCAAAGTAATCGAACAAACAATAAACAATAAGAAAGTTTACCTGTAATTGAAAAATATACTGGTATTAACTCGGTAGCTAGTCGGTTAACTTGATAACCTGAATATTCAGTTTTCAATCAATCAATCAATAAAGAAAAAAAAACCTTCACATTACAGAGTGAATTTATGTATAAAGGATGAAAATTACAATTTACTTGTAATGGTAAGTGTGTAGGTATGGTTTATGTGAGTAGGTGGGTAGTTAGCCTTATAGGCAGGTATAAGCTAAAGTATGATAGACCCCTAGATAAGAAGGTTTAGGCTAGGTCATGGAAATTTGTCAATTGTTAAGTAAGAAGACATGTAGTAGGTAAAGCAAAATATTTAGACAATTAGGGAAGTAGAAAAGTAGGTAGGAAAGTGCTAAGTAGAGAAGGTAGGGAAGTGCTAAATAGAAAAGTAGAGAAGTAGGTAGGGAAGTGCTAAGTAGAGAAGTAGGTAGGGAAGTGCTAAGAAGTAGAGAAGTAGGTAGGGAAGTGCTAAGTAGAGAAGTAGGTAGGGAAGTGCTAAGTAGAGAAGTAGGTCGAGAAGTGTGTGGAGGGTGTAGAGGTTGCAAAGAATGAAACTCTAAGAACTAAAAACTCCGGTCCATTTGAAGAACCGACCCAACGTGACAATATAGTAAAAAAATCATCACCGTCGATTTAATTATTTTTTTTTCTGTCCTGAATTTAGAGTTAAAGGTTTTACTTAATGAGTGTGAAAAGAAATAAAGGAGGTTTTAGTTTCAGGATACAAATAATATAAGAAAAAAGAGTGAATGAAGTTTGTACAATCATCCCTAAATATTTTTATAGGTAACCCTGTATATGACTCTGTACCTGAGAATTGAGTAGAATCCTGTGTTGTATCCAGTATGCGCACGCCGGTCAGATATGACACGTGATCTATATCCTGGGGATGGGGTCGGGAAGGAGAGGGAGGACGGAGAGGATCAATCTGCTGCGGAGTAGGAAGCATGAAACGGTACGAGCTGTAGGACTCTAAACATACAACAATATTAAACTAAGAGATTTAGAGATAAGCATTTTTTTGATTTTTAAACATTCAAGTGTCGATTATATCTTATAATTGTAAAAAAAGTATTTTTTTCAAATATTGTTCATGTCTGTTAAAGAGACTGTCCTTGTTATTTCGACTGACTCTTCGTTCAAATTGTATTTCTCTCAATTCCTTCCATTATTTCTATAGCAAGAAAGTCACTATTTTAGAGAAAACTCAGGATTAATTTTCTAAAAATAAATAACATTCATTCTTGATCTAACAAATCTTTAAAAGTATCATTGTGAATCCGACATGCCACTCTATAAATAGAGGGTCACTCAAAATTACGTAAAATTTACAGTCCATAAGAGGGGCAGTAAAGGATAAATGAAAGGGGGTGTAGGCTGAAACCTGAGTATTACAGGAGTTGATCGAGAAATATAAGAGTTCTATCTAATGACCCTGTCTCGAGAAATTGATATAAAACTTTGTCAAAATTATACCAAAACTTATATATTTAAAATTTGGTATAAGATTCTAAGTTTTAGTCAGACCATAGTCAACAAATACGCAACCAATCTGAAACCATAGTCAACAAATACGCAACCAATCTGAAACCATAGTCAACAAATACACAACCAATCTGAAACCATAGTCAACAAATACGCAACCAATCTGAAACCATAGTCAACAAATACGCAACCAATCTGAAACCATAGTCAACAAATACGCAACCAATCTGAAACCATAGTCAACAAATACGCAACCAATCTGAAACTATCTGAAGCCTAAAAAACTAAGGTTTGCTCCTATTATAATTTGAATTTAATAATTTTTCACTTTTAATAGATATAATTGATAATATACTTTATACGTCCGTATCACATGACCAGAACTCCCACCAATGGAAATGGAGTATCATTGTCACGTGTCTCCGTCTGTATCAAGAATCTTAGAATCTTATACCAAATTTTACATATATGTTTTGGTATAGTTTTAACAAAGTTTTTTATATCAATCTCTCGAGACAGGAACATTAGATAGAACTCTTATCGGTCTCGATCAACTCCTGCAATACTCGGGTTTCATCCTATACCCCCTTTCATTTATCCTTTAAAGTCCCTTTAAGCAGTTCAGTAACAGTTCATAGCTTAGAACAGACAAATTTGAAACAACATTTCGGATTTACGTAAAACAAGTTTGGTTTGCGTGAACCTACCGAAAGACGAAGGTATGTAGGCCTGGCGTCCATCAACTTCTATCCTTTTCTTTACAACAATGCCTAGGAGACCAGATAGCAGCAGAAATAGTATCACAACCTAGATAGATAGATAGATAGATAGATAGACATATGTACATGTAAATGTATATGTAAATACGACCTACCAGTAATATAAATGTTGTATCTCTCTTAATATTATGTTTGAACTTGTTATGAGCTGCTAACTGTATTAAGGATCCACCAAAAATACCCCAGACGAGGAAACACTCTTTTGCAGCACAGACCCAAGACTAAAATATAAAAAAGATAAAACTAAACATAAATGAAATATAAGAGATTTCAACGCAACGCAACATCTTCCGATGATTTGCCTATTATAGAGCTTAGAAACAATCCTTAGAGGCTTGTCATTTTTATATTCAGGACTATAAACAGTAAAATAGTGTTAAATTCAGAGTTAAGACTGGCAACACTTTTAAGTTTGTCCGGTCTCTACAGTAGATGTATAATTTTTACGATTGTGTACTGTGGGGTATCCAGGATAAGGAAATACTATGAAGTGTATAGTCGACGTACATGTAGTATGTACGCATATTGGGACTAACCGTTTCTTTATTGTATTCTTAACTTGTTCACTTTCTCTTTCAGTCTTTCTTAATTTTAACTATATTTGTTTCTCCTTTCTTTATTTTAAAACGGAAGGTGCACGCCCTACATTGATAATCAGAAAGCAATATAATAGGAAGACGACATTTTAGCAATAGTTTAGCATTTTGATGCTGTTACAAAGCAACTAGTTTTACTATACACTAATTTAGTAAAATGGGTCTGTTTACACTGCACAATTTCTGTGTCTCATTGCACTTTTTAAAGTTAGAGCTTGATTCTAAAAGTCGTTTTCCTATATTTCAGAGGGTTCTGGTTCTCACTTTATCATGGTTGATGAATAACCCTAAATCTCTCAACAGTATATTATACAGTAAATACCCTTTCTTCAACTCGCGTCAACCATATCATTATGTGCCATTATCACAATGTCTAAACCACAAAACCACACTTTCACCCCCCCCCCTCTTCCTTATTTTATTCCAGCATGCGGTTCCCGCATATATACATATAAAACAACAATTTTCTTTCTCATTTCATTGAAATCTGTACTCCAGTAGAAAGTGTATTTGTCTTTTGAAAATATGTAAAATATTGAAATTCGAAATTGATTTTTTCACTTAAAACTAATTGCTTTGTCTAAACTTTAAAAAACGTATCAATGCCAAATCAGTTAATCAGTTAATCAGTTAATCTCTCCGCGAGAAGAAGATTAATTAGTTACCCTCAGGCGCGTAGTGGAGGGGGGCCGGTACCCCTGTGCCCCCCCTAGACATGCAACCCCCTAAGCCCCCCCCCCCCTAGAGCCAGAGGCAGGCTCTAATTTACTAAACAGTAAACTTACATATATATTCATATTTTTTACTTTTCTTACCAATCGACAATGTCACAATTTGTCCATTTTATGATTATTTCTCAAATTCTTTCTTTTACCTTAATCTTATTTACAATATGTTTTTCGCGGGGTTTCATTTAAAATGATTGGTAATTATGGTCAGATGACTAATAGTCAGCCTTCAGGTAGATTAATATAGATTTTAAACTTTATTTTTTCTTTATACCGGTTTTTAAGGGGGGTGCACATCAACCGTTAGGGGGGTGCACAAAAAAGTACACCCTCCTACGCTAAACCTCCACTACGCGCCTGGTTATCCTCATTTTTTTCTTCCAAAAGTTCTCTACTTTGGGCGAATTTTTAGAAGAAGGTGGAAGAGTGTCTGTTCCAGTTTCTAACTGTTGATCGATAATCGTGAAACAAAATTGGATTCCACGTTCTTACATCTCTGGTACTCTATATTAAGCTTTCCAGTCACCATATGTCGTATCCTATAATCCAATATGTTATATGGAGCAGGCGATACACTTTTACAAACAAATTCTACATTTTATGAACATATTCTTCTTTTCTACAGTTTTACAAACAAATTCTATATTTTATGAACATATTCTTCTTTTCTACAGTTTTACAAACAAATTCTATATTTTATGTACATATTCTTCTTTTCTAAAGTTTTACAAACAAACTCTATATTTTATGAACATTTTCTTCTTTCAAAAGTTAACTTCTAAATAAAAAACACGCCATTAATTGACAAAAAAAGGATGAGATTTGAAAAGACGACCTGAAACTCATGACAATTACATAGTTAATTTAAGGTTACTGCCTTGAATGTTGTCTTTTAATGGCCTTCTCATTGACATTACAACGAAAAACAGATTACAGTTTCAGTGAATCCTAAATTTAAGGAAGACAACGTATAAATTCTGTGCAGTCGTTCCTGAAGTCTCATCCTTTGTGTGTATTCCTGTTTGTTTGATACTCATGTTCCTTGGGGACACCCCTAACGCTTCATTTAACTCACCTTTGTGTTATAAATGAAATCCCACCAGTTGGTATCTTGAATATAGGCCTGGAACTCCGACAGCTGAAAACCCGCCAAAATTTTTGAAGTGAAGACGATATATCCAACAATGGTCATCGGGGTTAATAAGTACACAACCTTACCATAGGATCTTAAACCTGGAAAACATAAAAAGCTGTAAATAAAGTTTAACTTTATAATAAATACACTTAAAGGAACAGCCATTGAAGTGTCAAGTGAACTTAGATTCTAAAAAAGGGTATGTCAGATTTACAACGGTACCATAATATGAAAGATATTTTTATTTTTCTAGCTTGAAAACTGTTTAATTTTCTCCTATTGAGTCTGCAGAAGACGTACGTAAATCAATTTTCCAGAGAAACCAAAATTAAAAACAACGATTTTTTAATGAAAGATTTTTTAAGGATATCTTATTCAACCTTGATCAGGCAAAGCTTTTGAGGGTACCGTTGTAAATCGGACATGACACTCTATTAACAGTATCTTTAATAGACACACGTTTTGATTAAAAAAAATAAGTTTGTTAATCCTAATTACCTTTACTTAAACAGATGAAAATAACCATCCATATAACAACTAGGTTAAAGGCAACCTAAAAAATAATTTAATGAACATATTTTTAGTGCTATACAATAGTTTTAATTTTTTCAAATGTTTACAACAACTTGATACTAAAAAATCTCAAAATGCATTCACATTGGTATAAAGAAAACCATTTTGATCAATAAGCGAATCTTTTGTAATGCTTAAAATTTGAAGACGTATGTAGCTAGGGACGCATGCTTCAAAGATGAAAAACTTTAATTACTAATGAATCAGAAAATGATATCCTAGAAAAAACATTAAAGCTTTAAACCCATTTGCTCTATAACATCCCTTTATGCCATAGTTCTGTACTTTTTATATTTTAACTGGCACACTAAGTGTCTATCGTAGACCAAATTAATTAAGAGAAAATTGTCAACAGAGCAAATAGCAACAGACTAAACGGCCATGGCCATGGGCCAAATGACAATTAAGCAACTGGTCATAGAGAAAATGGTAATTTAAAAAGGCATGAGGCTATATTAAATGAACAAATGGCCATGAAAAAATTACTGTAAAACAAATGACAATATAGATCAAATAGCAATTGAGTTATTAGCCATAGAGCAAATGACAACTGAGCAAATTACCGTTATAGTTCAAATAGGCAATTGGCAATAAAGCAAATATCGTTGCCTTATTATTATTTCAATCCTGACGCTACCTGAAACTACATACTGCCATGGTAAAATTTTATTCTAATAGCAAAAAACCATTAAAAAATTAATAAGACGGCATTTCATAAGTTCTTTCGAAGTCTTCAAAGCTCCGGATATCACTGTACCTGAAACTGCATGTTTCCCATGGTAGGTTTAGTATCCGGAGCTGGATTGCTCCGATGTAGAACGGAATATGAGAAATAATCCGGGATAGTGTCCTGGAGAAGAGAGGTATGGTTTATACCCTCACATTGTCGAACACTCTACAGTAAACACAAATATAATAATTAATAAAATTAAAACCAAGCATCCCGGACTAACCAGGACGAGATGCATTCGGTTTCTTCTTTATGAATTTTTTATTATAAAGATTTATTCACACACAAAGATATAAATACATATATAAATGGTGCAGTTTAAATTTGTTTAAATAAATTTTTGAAAATACAGGTTTCCATAAAGAAAAGAGAAAAATATGCAAAATTATGCACAAATAGACGACATTGATCATTACTCATTACATAACATATTTATCATTTCAGTTATTACGTAATCATCGAATCCTTCAACATATAAATTATTCATTCTTGTATTTGAAAGTTCTTGTAAAACCGGAACTTTACATGCATTGTCCAATGGGACATCAAAATATTTGACGTGTTTGTCTATAATAATAAAATAACCTAAGTTTGAAATATCAAAGGTTTACATTATCAGATTGCTAAGATATTGGAATTAGAAAGTTTGCGTTTGTGACGAAGACGTTATAAAAAATTGTAATTTAAAAATAAACTAATTTTGATTAACAATAATTTAAATACCTCAACAAATTAATTATAAACATGGTATGTATTGTAACAAACAATTGTTTTCAAAACTTGTTGAATCAATATGAAAAAGTTTGAGATGTTTCTAAATTGAGGATATCAATTTATGTTATAAAAAAATATATATGATAAATTAAACAAGACATTGTTCCTTACAGCCGGCCAAACAGCTGGACCAAATGGGCTGAAATTTTTTTATGAGAACCCAAGGTACCCTGGGGGTAACATAGGCTAAATAAATTCTTTTTTTAATTCCACGGGCAACGCCGGGCCCTTCAGCTAGTGTTTAATAAAAAGTAATATTATATAAATAATTATAAATACCTGATGGTAAGGTAGTTGGTAGTTACAAAACGACCATTTATAATCTCCAGAAGAAATAAATGAATCCCTAAAAAAATAAGTTTATAAAAATATAAAAAATCTAATCAAGAAACAAATAAACTGACAAATCATAAAATTTACCTTTATAAGAAAGATGAAAAATAATAACTAAAGAATTAGGTCTTGGACAAAAATTTTCTATTCCTTTTTCTCTACAACCATATTATGTAAACCTTTGATATTTTAACAATTAGATTTTTAGATTTAACAAAATTCATAGTTTGAAATATCTAAGGTCTACAACATTTGGTTTTAAAGATATCGGAATCAAAAAATCAGAGTTTGTGCAGGGAAAAATTCAATTCCTTAATGATTTAAAACGTAAATATTTGAACTGATAATAATAATTATTTCAAAAATATATGTAAATGGTTGAAAATGTAAAACTAGACAGAAAAACTGTATTTTAATTAAGTTTAATAAAAACCTGAAATATACAAACATCCAGGATGTAACGACAGTACTGTACACACCAATCATCCCTTGTACAAGCATAAGAGACACACCAACACCCTGAAATATGTACATTGTATAAGTTTAAACTGTAAAATTATGAAAATGTCTCATTTATGTATTAGTTGGGAACACGTCATGCTCAATCAAGATAAAGATGCGCAAAATATTAATTTCATTGTGTAAGTTTTGCACAGTACATTCGAAACTGTAGAGGAAATACAGGGAAGTAACGCGTATTTTAAAGTGACCCTCTATGCAAGAATGGTAATGCCGATTTACAACTGTGCCCTTATAAGTAGAAAATGCGCAAGTCACTTAATGGCAGAAAACCCACGAATAAAAAACGCTTTCAAAAAAGCAGTTCTAATTCATGCTTGATCAGACGAAGCTTTAAAGAATACTGTTGTAAACCGGGCATTGCCATCTTTGTATGGAAGTACATCAGTCCCTTATCTTAAGTTTGAATGTTTGAGTGATGAATGAACACCAAAATGGTAAATTGAATCTAGTATTTGAGTATTATGATCAAACAGTGTAAAAACAAGATAGAAATCTTGATATGCTTAAATTTTATATTTATATATGTACTTTTGTACATAAAAATGACACAAGCTCTATACCACGCAAAATAACTTGACGTGATTAAGATGAAACAAGTTTTATACCACGCCTGTAGTACTAAGTCAAAAAGAAATTCGACTAATCATAATTAAAACAAAAAATCCAAACATTTTAAAAATACATTAAAATCTTGACATAGTAAGGAACAAAGGAATTGAGTTTTTGCCTCGAACTCAAATCTTCTGATCTCAATATCTTTGCAACCTGATGGTGAAAACCTTTGATATTTCACACTTAGATTATTTTATCTATAAGTATTAATAGCTTGAAATATCTAAGATCTACGACATTGGGTTACAAAGATATAGAGATTTGAAAATCAAAGTTTGTGGCAAAAACTCAACTCCATTNCCTGCTGTTTTAACAAAACAAGACTCCCAAATACGGAAACATTCAAATAACATGTTAAACTTATTCCTCAAAACGATATTTTAGAATTTTCGTTGTTAAGTTTAACCATTCCTAAATGTACATTAAATAGAATTTTATCAACAATGATTTTACTAATTTTGCTTCTATTTTAACTTTTGTATATATATTTATATATATACATCTATATACATATTTATTATTTACACTATAAACAATTGTTCTGTGTCATATTCATTGTACTATTAAAGGTCCTAACTTAAGTCTAAAAGTCGTCTTCCTATTTCGGAGTTTTCTGGTTTTCAATGTACATATTGATATTTTTTATAATTTGCTGTGTACTTAGTGTGGACTCATTTCCTCTTCTATTTGTTGCCATATGTCGCAGATTCAAGATCTTCTTCCCAGTCACATCCATCCTTACTTCCGAGTATATTATTGGTCTTTACTTTCTTCCGGTTCTAAACTTTCCTTGTTCTATACTTTCTTCATTGCTTTTTGCTTTCTTCCTTGTTCTTTACTTTCTTCCCTGTTCTTTACTTTCTTCCCTGTTCTTTATTTTCTTCCTTGTTCTTTACTTTCTTCCCTGCTCTTTACTTTCTTCCTTGTTCTTTACTTTCTTCGGTGTTCTTTACTTTCTTCCCTGTTTTTTACTTTCTTCCTTGTTCTTTACTTTCTTCGCTATTCTTTACTTTCTTCCCTGCTCTTTACTTTCTTTCCTGTTCTTTATTTTCTTCCTTCTTTTTTACTTTCTTCGCTGTTTTTTACTTTCTTCCCTGTTCTTAACTTTCTTTCTTGTTCTTTACTTTCTTCCCTGTTCTTAACTTTCTTCCTTGCTCTTAACTTTCTTCCCTGTTCTTTACTTTCTTTCTTGTTCTTTACTTTCTTCCTTGTTCTTTACTTTCTTCCCTGTTCTTGACTTTCTTCCCTGTTCTATACTTTCTTTTTTGTTCTTTAATTTCTTCCGTGTTCTTTACTTTCTTCCTTGGGGGGTAACGTAGGATTAAAAATTCGAGTTTTTTATATTTGATTTTTTTAATTCCACGGACAACGCCTGGCACTTCAGCTAGTTTTTAACAAAAGTTTACCCCTACCTGAAATATAGGTGATATTCTCCACATATCTATAATCCCTGAGCCCAGATATTGTCCTAAACTAGTGAAGAGGGAGAGCATTGGTAGTCCAAACAGCAGGGTTAACAACAGGAATTGAAGAAGAAAAATTACTGAAAACAAAAGTTACAATTTTACAATATGACTTTTGAATCGATGAAAGTACACATTTATTTATATAAATTTGTTCGATTATAATTTTGTGAACACGAAAAGCTTGTCGATAATAGGTTCGGTGCAGGGGATAAACTGACATGGCAAGGTTATATCATAAAGGATAGTTACTTGGGGATTAGTGAAAGATTTCAGTTTTATGATAAACGGGGTATTTTATTGAAGGATTTCCTGCTCAGAGTCAGCTAACAGGGTTTCAAGAAGGTTCACAGGTTCACGTGAATTAATGTTATAGCAGAAGCTTTATCACGCACCCCTGACCCTTCAGTAAAAGTAAATTCAACCTAAAGTCTGACCGCGTCAACCTTGTTGCACCGGCTAGTCCCATTGAGTGTTTGCTTTATTTACCCAATGTCCGGGCGATACAGTACAAACTGTGACTGGAAAGGTTGACCCGGCTCGGAAATTCAAATGTACTATGGCTGCCCGTGTTATCTATTAAGGCAAAAAGTTGGCGTTTATTGTTGAGTAAATGTAAGTAAAACCTTGCAAAGACTTTATATTCTAAAGGGGAAAAGTCAAATTTTGAACTACCTTTTGTTCTAATTCAGAGAATATTAATAGCCGTAAGGATTTGTTTCACGTCAATGGATGGAGAAAACAAGTTCCTCAAAATTTATTTTTAAAATGACCTATTTAAAATATTACTATTACTTTAAAAGCTAACGCCCCGAATTAAGTATTAAACAAAATTAATCCCCGGAAAAAAATGTTTTTTAATAAACCAATCTTAAATATATTTCAAAATACTTCACTTCAAAAAATCTAGACCCCGAATTTTAAAAGACTACCCACCACATTACGTATTTTCAAAACTTAAATTTATAGTACCCCAAATGAATATTTAAAAAGTATTGCTAATATATAACTTTCGACGTATTTTCAAAAATCTGACCTCCGAAGTCTGCTGTAAGAATACTGAATCTACTGATAGAAAACATGCCGAGCAGAGCAGAGAGTGAAGAGAAGAGAAAACTTAAAGAATGTTGCCACGCCCCCACCTGAACCCGCCCCGCCTCCTCCTCAGCACCAACAGGTCGACCACGCCTTCCGGGTGGAGGCCGAGTAGATCTTGTTGGAGATGCACGCCTGCTTCCATGTCGAGACGATGTTCTAGATAGATAGATAGATAGATAGATAGATAGATAGATAGATAGATAGATAGATAGATAGATAGATAGATAGATAGATAGATAGATAGATAGATAGATAGATTGATAGATAGATAGATAGATAGATAGATAGATTGATAGATAGATGGATAGATAGAAATAATTATTTTTAGAATAGTGAAAAAATAAATTTCAGGCTTGACAAAAGAATTTTTATTTTATGAGATATTGCACCAGAAATAGCCTTGTAAGGGTTAGATTGGTGATGCTACAATACACATTTCTTGCATAATCATTATTTTCATCATGAAATGTGAAATATTTCTAATTTTTCTGATATTTCTGATATTTCATTCAGATATTTCCAATATCTTTAAAAAGCTCTTTGCTCTTATATATCTATACTAAGGCTAGAAAAAAAATTCTTAAAAATTCTATTTTTCCTAAATTTTTTAAAGCTGTTTTTTCAATTCTCCGGGCAACGCCGGACCATTCAAATTGTTTCTAATATTTACGATATTTATAATACTAGACTTTTAAGGCGCTTCCCTGGAGGTCATGTGAGGTCCCACACCAAATTAGGGTTCGATCGGTCGTTCAGTCGTTCGGACGTATATTGGATACAAACTTAAATACAGACAGACAAGCAAAGATTATACAAAGCTTTTAGGGCACTCCGCGCCCATCTTCTATTTCAATAGAACATTTTCTCGATCTTTGTAATCATTGTAAAATAAAAACAAAAAAATATATATTTTGAATAGAATAAAAAATTCTTTAAAATTCAAATATTTTTTCAAACTTCGAAATTTGTTTTTCCATACTGTGTTAAAATTCCACTGGCAACGCCGCGCCGGGCATTCAGTCAGTATTAAATATTTCTAATATTTCTAATATTTCTAACATATCTAACCTGCGACTGCTTCGACTTCTGTGACTATGTCTCCCTGTGCTTCCGCCTCCTCTTCTCCTTCTAAAAACAAAATTATAAAATATTCACCCTCTGTGCAGTTGTGCAAAGAAATGGGCATCATTTTTTAGAACGAACGAAATTTTTTTGAACGAACGAAATTTTTCGTAAAAAACTACACGAACGATTTTACTGAACGATCATTCCGTGAAAAAACGAACGATATAGATAAAAAATGAACGATACATTTTTGAGAACGAACAAAATCGACTATTGAAAAAAAATGAACGAAATGGGTTGTTCACGAAAGATGAACGATCGAAATGAAAAAAATCGAACGTGACCATCTCTACTGCGCACTTCTGATGCAACACATCTTCTATTAAGAAGCCCTGAGCAGATGTATTTGAACGCTGTGAAATTATCTAAACATGACCATATATGGAGAATCAGGCTTTTCAAGGTTAATACAACAGTTTACCTAATCAGACAAACTTATTGATAAAGAATAGATTGGATTTCAGGACTCTTAACTCAGAGTAAGTTTTAAAGACGTGTGGTAAATGGACGTTAATTTCGTTCTGTCAAAATGAAAACGATAAGTTAACAATTAAACCCTCAAACAAATATATATCTAAATTTTTTAAAGTATAGTGCAATGATATAATCTTTTGAAGAAGATAAAATTATAATCAAACTGCATAGATGCAGAAGTACTCCTGATTGAAATACTAATTCGGAACGAAAACCAATCATACAAAAAAATTAAACTTTTATTCGACCCAACACTCTTTTATTTCAATTTTTTAAAATATTAACACAGCCAGAAAAATATTCAAACAAAAATATTTATTCAACGCTAGAAATAAACCTTCTAGCGAAAAAAATAATCTGAAAAAATGTCAGGCCTACTTTCGAGAGAATTATTGAAGAAAAAATTTAACAACCCATAGAAAATCCAATCACTCAAAACTTGACAGAAAGAGAAGGTAAAATTTATGTAACATTACTGTAACGACTTTGTAACCTTGTAGCTCCTCTGGTTTTGAACTTACGTAAAAATTATGGGAAAGCAAATATATTAGAACTAGCCTTATTGGGCGCTTCGCGCCCATCTTCTAAATTAATTGTGAACATGTTCTCTTTGTGTACATCGTAAAACAAAACAAAAATAATTCGCAGATTTTCACAAAAAATTTCGTGGATTTTCAAAATTTTCAAAAATTTAATGAAGATCGAATTTTGATGTAGACAAATATTTGAAATTTTGATCATTCATAAACCTTCCCTGGGGTTACTTGAGGTCCCACAAAAAATTTGGGCCCGATCGGTTCAGCCGTTTTGACGTTTATTGGATACAAACAAACAGACAAACAGACAAACAAACACCCAGACAAGCCAAATTTATATATAGACTAGCCTTAGAGGGCGCTTCGCGCCCATCTTCTAAATTAATTGTGAACATGTTCTCTTTGTGTACATCGTAAAACAAAACAAAAATAATTCGCGGATTTTCACAAAAAATTTCGTGGATTTTCAAAATTTTAAAAAATTTAATGAAGATCGAAGTTTGATGGAGACAAATATTTGAAATTTTGATCATTCATAAACCTTCCCTGGGGTTACTTGATGTCCCACAAAAAATTTGGGCCCGATCGGTTCAGCCGTTTTGACGTTTATTGGATACAAACAAACAGACAAACAGACAAACAAACAGACAAGCCAAATTTATATATAGATTTCTAAACATTTGGTTCTTCTCAATAGATGTTAATAGAAGGAGTTATGATTATAAACATTTATGTATCAGATTCCAATCTGACGTACAATTTACAATTAATAGTTTGACTTGATATTTTTAATGTTCTTGTTTTTGTTATATTCTTCAATATTCACATTTGAAATAATGTTTATCTTCCGCACCGTTTGTATCCCTGTATCTACGTATCATTTCAATATATGTTACCCTGTACCCTTGGTATCTCTTCGACATCCCTGTCCTCTCTATGTGCCCGTATCCCTGTATCCCTGCATCCCTGTATCTCTGTATCTCTGTATGCCCTTTGTATCCCTGTAACCCTTTATCACTGTATCTCTGAACCCCTGTATCCGGCTCTATATCTCTGTCTTCTGTATCTCTGTATCCCTGTATTCCTGTATCCCTGTATCCGTGTATCCAATCGTATCTACATTTATCTCTTTGTGGATTAGGTTAGCTTTTGGCTTGAACTTTATACTACATACATATGTAATGCATTGTATATGCAAATACGGTCGGATTTCATTCTATTCCACTAGGATTTAGGTTGCAAAGGAAGTAGGTGGGTATCTAAATAGATAAATAGCCAGGTAGGAAGGTAGGAGTGTAGGTAGTTATTGGTAGGGTAGATTGTTGTAAGGTAGGTAGGAAGGTAGGTAGATATGTGGGTACTGTTGTGAATTGGACATGCCAATCTCAAATAGGAGGGTTCCTTGAAACAACTAAACAATTAAATCTTTACAATCTGTACAGTAGTCAGTAGTTTGCAATATTTTTATTGTCTAATAGTCAGTTGTTTGCAGTGTTTGGACAAGTTCTTTAGGATTCATTTGAGACATATAAAAGATCTGTAAATCCTGAGTTTGAGTGGAAAGTCGACGTTCAAAAACGTACTTTTGAGTGGATACGTTTTCTGAATTGTTTTTTTTTAAATTATTAAACAATGACGACAAAAAAATGTAAAGAAAATTCTACAGTAAACTAATTAAAGTTTAGGAACAGGTTGAGAAAATAAAAATTAACTCTTATCATCGAAAATAAGTAATCTTATTCAATTATTAGTTTCAAGTTCATGATTTTGAACGTCGACTTTGCGCTCAAACTCAGTAACTAATTATACATCGTTTTATATGTCTCAAATGAATCCTAAAGAATTTGTCCAAAACACTGCATACTCAGTTTAACTACCTTACATAGCCGGTCTGTCACTTTAATGCTATGTTTTTGTTTACGTTTAGTTAAACAAATATTTGAGATTCCTCTTTCAACTAAACATACAAATAGAAAGCAAAAATAAAACACACATAAAAACAAGCAGGATTGTACAAGGATAAATTGTATAAATAAAAGAATATGTACTTTAAGAATCTGAGAAATACTGTGGTTTCTAATTTTGTAGGCGTTAACATCTTTTTATTTTTCATTGCTTCTATATCAGAATATCAGGAGCGTATTCAGGAATTTGGGGGGGCTATCTTTCTCTCTGTCCAGGGGGCTGAGCACCTCTTATGATCCAAAAATCTCCTAAAATCACAGATTTTATTGATCAAGGGGCTCAGCCCCCCCCCCGTCTGCAGAAGATGATGTTCTTGATAATAAAAAAATTAATTAAATCGAGAGGGTTTAGCTAGAAAGAGAAAATACACGCTTTACAGTTTACAGCTTTATCAGTATCATTATAGTTAGTTAAACCAGAATATAAGAAGATATTATTAAACCCAACATATGCTTCTATTTGTTCAAGAATATTGTCTAAAGTTAGAATATACAGGGTGTCCCACATCATGTTATACCGTTTAAAGCTCTAAATTGAGATATTCTAGACTAATCAGAAAAATTAAAAAGAATGAATACTTTCGAAAAATTGTACGCGGCTAGTATAAAAATTTGCATGCAGAAAATGCTAGCTTTTCGAGTAGTATAAGCGTATTTTGGTGTTAAAGCTTGGAGATAATCTAATACGATATGGGACGCTCTGTATTTGTATCCTGTGTATCCTGTGTATCCTGTGTATCCTGTGTATCCTGTGTATCCTGTGTATCCTGTGTATCCTGTTTATCACGTTATAGTATCTCTTCAAATAAATAAAATAATAAAATAATAACAATTTTTAACTATTTTTCTAGATCTCCCTCTCCCTCTGTTCAATGATTGTATGAGTGTTTACCGTACCGTAAATATACATTGTTGCAATACAAAAACAGGGCGTCATAAAAAAAGTGTTCAAAAGAATATCCAAATAAAAAATGTAAAAAGTTTTATTGTAATTCACCCATACGATAACTTCGACATTCTTGTTAAAGGGACTGTTCGAGTAATTAGAAGTGACCCTTTATGTAAAGATGGCACTGCCCGATCAACAACGGTACCACTAAAACCAGATCAAGTATGAATTAGATATCCATGTTTATAATTTTCTTTAAATGATTTTTTTGTAAATTTTCTCTACGTACTTGTGACAATTGTGAAGGGCAATATATCGGAAGTAAGCGATAATATCTTTCACATTATTGATCAGATAAAGGTTGCAAGGTACCGTTGTGAATCTTGCTATATTTTCCTGGAGGGTCAGAAGGACAGAAAAAAAAGTTTGAAAAAAACTTACCTTCTTTCTCTTCTTCTACTTGCACTGGTTCCCCTGCCATGTCCTCTACCACCTCTGCAGCGGGTTTCTCTGTAAAAAAATATTAAATTTCTAAAAAACTTTATTCTTTCTAAAAACTGAGAATAAGGATGAAGTTCGTATGGATTCCCCATTTTCTGAAAGTATTTTGCAAACAGTTAGGGTAGGTTGCTAGTTTACTAACCTGGTACATTTTGTACAGTAAGGGTATGTTGCTAGTTTACTAACCTGGCACATTGTGTACAGTAAGGGTAGGTTGCTAGTTTACTAACCTGGTACATTGTGTACAGTAAGGGTAGGTTGCTAGTTTACTAACCTGGCACATTGTGTACAGTTAGGGTAGGTTGCTAGTTTACTAACCTGGTACATTTTGTACAGTTAGGGTAGGTTGCTAGTTTACTAACCTGGCACATTGTGTACAATAAGGGTAGGTTGCTAGTTTACTAACCTGGTACATTGTGTACAGTAAGGGTAGGTTGCTAGTTTACTAACCTGGTACATTGTGTACAGTTAGGGTATGTTGCTAGTTTACTAACCTGGTACATTGTGTACAGTTAGGATAGGTTGATAGTTTACTAACCTGGTACATTGTGTACAGTTAGGGCAGGTTGCTAGTTTACTAACCTGGCACATTGTGTACAGTTATGGCAGGTTGATAGTTTACTAACCTGGCACATTGTGTACAGTTAGGGTAGGTTGCTAGTTTACTTACCTGGCACATTGTGTACAGTTAGGGTAGGTTGCTAGTTTACTAACCTGGTACATTGTGTACAGTTAGGGTAGGTTGCTAGTTTAATAACNCCCCCCCCCCTCCCATCCCCCCGCTATTATAACTAACAAATATGCAAAATAAAAGCGCTCTCAAGTTTTAACATGAAGTTGAGTTTATGAGTGTATTCTGCCTTGAATCTACCAACTGGCGTGGGGAGAAATTATCAGAGCTACAGCTGGGAATCATGTCGAAATAATGGGGAGCAAAAAGAGGTGAGGAGCCATCTGAAGGGGAAAATTTTCAGCTTTAAAGGGACTGTACACGTAATTTAAAGTCATCCTCCAGTTAAACGGCGGCATGTCTGATACACAATGCACGTAAATCTAACCACATCAATGTGTCTCTCATTAATAATATATCGCGCGTAAGAAACTTTACATATACAGAGCGTCCCATATCATATTAGACTATCTCCAAGCTTCAATGCCAAATTAAACCCATAATACTCGAAAAAGCTAACATTTTCTGCAAGAAAAAATTTATGTAAGCCTTATTCAATTTTATGAAATGATATATTCTTCTTATAATTTCTCATCAGGGGTCAATATAATTCCCAAAAAAGCTGATTTTCTCGATCCTGCCCCCAATTTTTAAAAAAAATGCCCCCAGTTAAAATTTTATTTTCAAATTCCACTAACACATTTGCCCCAATGCCCCCAATTTTGAAAAAAAATGCCCCCAATTTTTAAAAAAAATGCCCCCAGTTAAAATTTTTTTTTCAAATTCCACTAACACATTTGCCCCAATGCCCCCAATTTTGAAAAAAAATGCCCCCAATTTTTAAAAAAAATGCCCCCAGTTAAAATTTTTTTTTCAAATTCCACTAACACATTTGCCCCCAATTTGAAAAAAATGACCCCAATTTCTAAAAAAAATGCCCCCAATTTTAATTTTAATTATCATATAAAAAAAATTTGCCCCCAATTAAAGAATTTGCCCCCATTTCTTTCAAATTTGTCAATCCCAAATGGGATTGAAAAAGGAATTATATTGACCCCTGTTTCTCATTAGTCCCAAAAAAACATAATATAGACTGATTAACGATATAATATGATATGGGACACCCTGTATGTGTAAAATACACAGCACAACACAAATATTTAATAGCACATACCAAACAACTATATTAATAGGTAAAAAGTCACGATGGACTTTTAACCAAGACCTTTTTTACCAATTAATCTATTTTTCCCATATGAAAATTAATCTTTTTAAATACGAATTCTCTGTAAAAGTGATTGGCGGATTTTAACTGTAAAAATATTTATTACGTTTCAAGGTGGAAAACTGACTAAGTCATCTTTATTTTTAGCCAGATAAATATTTAGAGGGTACCTTTTTGAATTAGACATGTCATTCTACAAATGGAGTATCACTAAAAAATCGAAATCAAAAGCAATCTTTTTGCAAATGTTAAGATTACTTTACAGAACGTACTCGGCATTGTCGCCATATTTAAACAGTCCTGGTCCGAATTTCATGAATTTGAGCTGCGTCTCAAATCCACCAACAACCGGTTTTAATAGCGCGGGCTTAAATATTGAAATATTGAATACAATTTTTAGTAGAACCAATCATATTTGAGCCGCATCTTAAATTTAAGCCACGGCTCCAATTCATTATTTTCCGCCTCAGCATTCACCTGTCTCATAGGATATTAATCAAAACTTTCCCACTTTTAGTGGTGGGAAATGAAATAGTCAAGTATTTGCATGTTTTCCCGCGTTTTTTTTTACAAGTTTCGAGGATTTCTTCCACGCTTCAGCAGCCGAGAGACTTTAACTTGCGGTAACACGGTGGCTGAACATTTACTTCATAAAGTGTAGAATTTAAATTTGCATCCTCTCAATCTTATTCAATTATCATCTTTTTCTGTGGTAACAATTTTGTTCCTAACTACAGTGAGAACTAGAAAACTCTGGAATAGGAAGACGACAGTTAGACTCAAGTTATGATCTTTAATATAGTCCAATGAACGAAAGACACAACAAGTGTGCAGTGTAAACAGACCTATTTCACTTAATGAGCGGTACAATAAGTTACTGGTAGACCTCTTTCTTTGTAACAACATCAAATAAATTAAATTATTGGAGTAATGGAGTCTCTTATTAAAATATCTATAAATCTAACATTAGAGAAACATACTTAAAAATTTAAATACTAAAGTGTAGTGACAAAAGATTATTAATTCTAATGTTTCTGATGTGAAATGTTATCTTTATGATATTGCATATTATTAAAGCTTCATCATTCTGTACGAGGTGTAAAGATCTAGCTGTATTTAAGGAAAAGGAAGAGAGCTGGTACTGAAACCATATGAAAGTTGAACTTTCGGGCTTTTTAATTTTCAGATAAGTTTTTGATATAACAAACTTTTTTTTCAAAACACTCCAATAAGAATTTAAACAATAAATAGTCTTAACTATGCCATTTTTATTCCTACAAAATTAAGTCCCCCCAATCCAATAAAAAGTAACTGAGATAGTTTTAACAGTAAAACATTATAAAGCTGTATAGTGTATTTACTGGAACCACTTACACTTTCTAAATCAGTATATTTCCTCAGATCCCATTTAACGTCATTAAACCACATCAAACCCTATTCAACCACTTTAACCACAGAAATCTCACTTTTTTCTTCAGTTTTCTAAAAACCTCTTCAATAAAAGCTAGAACATAGAACAAATAAACCTATCTTAAATAAACTTATCTAGCTGATGGTGTAAACCTTTAAACTTATTCTAGCTGATGGTGTAAACCTTTAAACTTATTCTGGCTGATGGTGTAAACCTTTAAACTTATTCCAGCTGATGGTGTAAACCTTTAAACTTATTCTAGCTGATTATACCTTTAAACTTATTCTAGCTGATGGCGTAAACCTTTAAACTTATTCTAGCTGATGGTGTAAACCTTTAAACTTATTCTAGCTGATTAAACCTTTAAACTTATTCTAGCTGATGTTACTTTTAAACTTATTCTAGCTGATGGTGTAAACCTTTAAACTTATTCTAGCTGATGGTGTAAACCTTTAAACTGTGCCAGTTAATGGTGTACACCTTTAAACTTATTCTAGCTGATGGTGTAAACCTTTAAACTTATCTAGCTGATGTTGTAAACCTTTAAACTTATTCCAGCTGATGGTGTAAACCTTTATACTTATTCTAGCTGATTAAACCTTTAAACTTATTCTAGCTGATGATTTAAACCTTTAAACTGTGCCAGCTGATGATGTAAACCTTTAAACTGTGCCAGCTGATGGTTTAAACCTTTAAACTGTACTAGGTAATGGTGTAAACCTTTAAACTTATTTTAGCTGATGATGTAAACCTTTAAACTGTGCCAGCTGATGGTGTAAACCTTTAAAATTATAAACGTTGGGTATTTCATCTCTTTCAGTCTTTAGTTGTTCAGAGAGTATTTCACTTTCTTTATTATAACAATTTCTTCACCATTTCTTAATTATATTAGTTTTGTTAATTTAATTGATTATAATTTGTCTTTAAATCCATAAATTTCTAATCAAAGCATAGAAGAAGGAAATCGATTGATTAGCTTAATGATGCTGTTTGGAAACACTTGATTAATTTTCTTCACAGATTCCTGAAATTTACTTTAAACTCCCTTTAATGGGACTGTAAGTGTTATTTCAAGTGAAACCCCATGCAAAGATGACAATGCCCGATTCACAAAGGTACCCGTAGAAGATTTGTCTGATCAAGTAAGAATTAGATATCAATGATTTTAAATTTGAAAACTTATCATTTTCAACTGTGGTATTCTCAACAACAGTGACAATTGCGCGTTTCTACTGCAAGTAACATATAGGAATTATCAAAAATACCCATTTTCAAACCTAGAAAAACGACATTATTTTTCACATCATTGATCAAAGAAAGGTTTCAAGTGTACCGTCGTGAATCGAACATTCCCATCGTCTCATGGAGGGTCACTTGAAATTACGCTTACTGTCCCTTTCTTTCAAGATTACAGAGACTGTTCACAAATTTGAAGTGACCACCCCTATTAAGGATTGTCGCACGGCCGATGGACAACGGTACCCTTCAAACCTTTATCCGAGTAACAACGAGAAAGATATCTTTGTTCTCATTTCTTAAAAAGTGATTGATTGATTTCTGTCAATTTGTAATAAAATAATATTTATTATTTACCATAAAAGTTTATTTAGTTAAAACCGTTGCAATATTTAAACTATATCTGTAGGCCTTTATACTTGAACTATAGTATTACAGTATTTTTCATTTTAGAGTTGCAAGGAACCATATATTTAAGGAAACATACAGTTTAAATTCTTTACAGTCGTCTCTGAAGTCTCATCCTTATATCAACCAGACGGTAATGTCCCTTCTCTAGCTATCATGTTACCTTCTTTAGAAATTCGAAATTGAAATGGATAGTCTAGGGAAAATACTGTATTAGTGCTTAACAACTTCACATGTAGGATAAACTTAAAGGGACTGTTCGATTGACAGTATGATGTCGCAGACCTTTGATATTTGAAACTATGAATTATGGCGGACCAAAAGGTTTTAGTTTTAAACATCAAAGTTTTCAAAACACCTGAACAGATATAAGAATCAGTTTAGTTTCTGTTTAACTATATCCACACTGCAATAGATATATCTATAATAACATTCAACGGAAAAATTACAGTTAGATATATCGCACACTCTGTGCGGTATAATAATTTCTGCTTCCTTCATAACTCATGTTGTGTTGTTACCTTTCAGCGATATATCAACAATATAGCTATTTTTAAATTTGCGATATATCTAACCGTAACTTTCCGGTTAAATGCGAAAGCGGTTTTTTTGCAATGCAACTACATTCCATATTATATGTGCAGAGTATCGTGTATGTGTTTCAGAATGTGTTTGCTTTTGATGTGCACTTCAACTTCGCAATTTTGTAAATACTCGAACATATCATCGATCAAACTTATTATACTTCCAAAATATAAGTTGGTGCGTCAAAA